TGCAGATGGGGCAATAATGTTTTCACGGGCCGTTTACATAGCACATTAAATTTAGTGTAACTGTTGCATTTGGTGCAGTACATGGTGATATTGTTACATCCAAAATTTTCCACCATACGCTTAATTATTGAAATCCTTCCCTCTGTAGCCTATTAGCTTAAATTAGGTACAGCTAATCACATTGAGCCCTTTGAGTAGCTTTACTTGAAAATACTAAAACAAACAAACAAAGTAACATTTCGCCATCTCGGGTTCATATAAGTCACAATATAGATACACTAGAGTGAATGTAAATAATTGATAGGTGATAAACACGTTTTTGTAGGTTTCACACTAAAACACTATTATTGGTCATCTGGCCATTAATGTATGTATGTCTACATCTTAACAGCAAATAATAAATACGAGCTTGCTGTGCTGATCACGTATTTTCAAAGGAATTCACTCAATTCACTAAATTTTTATAAAATACTATCAAGATAATATCAAACATTGATAATTTTTGTACTTTTATAAAATATTAAATGTGTACGAAAATAGAAATCTGAGAAGGGGTGGTCTCATATATTTTCGAAAACTTTATTTTCTTCAAAAAATAATAAATAAATAAAATAAAATGCTTGAGATTCTCTACAATCAAACTTACCAATGAATCGGTATATTACGTCAAAATAAGTAATGGTGGAATAAAGCAGATCGGATAAGAACACGGGTAAAATTTACAGGGAAATTATTTTTAGGCCTGTACATTTCTGTTTAGCCAGCAGAATATTTGGGAATTCGTTATCCTTTCTGGTAAATTAGTGAGTATCATAGTAAAAAGTTTTCTTGAGTTTGTAATGTAACTAGGCAGTAAAAGTTGCACCATTGCCATAGTACCGGTATGTTGTGTAAATTTATTTTTTTACATTAACATTACTACTGAGCATTAGGCTTAAGCTAGTCTAGACTAATCTAAGCTATAACTGTGACCTGAAGTAAATTGTCTCAAATTTTTATGTGTGTAAGTTATAAAGTAACGTTAGGCTAGCCAAAAAGACTTGAAAGTTGAATTCTACTACTGCTACGACACTGTCAACTGTATATGTTCTAACCAGAGCATATACATTAATACAGTGCTTAGCAGGTCGCTAATGTAAATTGTAATACGACTTGTAAGTTGTAACTGTAGTGTAAGTTGAACGTGATATTGATAAATTATCTAGCACTAGCATAATACCTTTAGTAACTTAAATAACGGACTTGGTTTTCTTTAAGTTTTACAATTTTGACACTTGCCATTCTCCCGTAATAATGTCAAATTGTAATCAAAGCACCTGGCCCGATATTTACTATAAAATTTATGGTAAGTACGTAGTAGAAAATCTTTGACCTTCCATTTTTAACCACGTAAATCCTTTCTTTACTTATCTTATATTTTCTGTAAGTGTAATTTTGCAAATTAACACTAACTTGTTACAAATGCTAATAGTAATAGTAATACTGTAACTGTCAGTATCACACCCAGTGTCTCTCACATTTATTTAGGCCTACGTGATTGGGTATCTGTGTGAAGTGGCCGTGTAGATGACCGATGTAAAGGTAAGAGACACTGCTGTGTGACCCACCACCACCACTGTCACTACCGTGTTTTACTAAACAAAATTAGGATTTCATTCTTGTTTTTAGTTTAGAGATATTATTCAGCATTATTCTTTAATTCCTTGGAGCATCAGCATCAGAGAAATAGGCTACATATATTGATATAATTAAAACTTAGAAGGTAATCAACATCTTTTCACAGTTGAAGAGCTATATGTAAAATCTAACTTAATACATATTAGCCTATTACTTTTGAAAATAAATATGGATGGTATTATTCAACTGTTCAAAATTATTTGGATATTTGACAAATTGGATATTTTATCTCCCCTGTGTGAATAAAGGCAAAAGTGGTAACTTTGATATTAAAGGTTATGAATATAGATAGTTGAAACTTAGAAGTTGAATTGTTAGAATATGTAGCTTTAATTGAATTAGCAAGGGGCTATTCAAGAGAGTTTGGTGCCCTCAATAAAAAAAAAAGTTCAGCTTTATGCCCAAGTAGTGGTTCTTATTCAAATAAAATTTATTAGGAACATAATACTTTTGAAACTTTTAAGTTTTAATAAAGATTTGGTTAATGTTTTAGTGCTTTTCCAATGAAATGTAATTTATGGCATTGGAATTATCGTGTCGACGTTTCTTCATATTAATGACTTTAGAAGAGAGAGAATAGCTTTTTTTATTTCATAGCAAATATCTAAGATATGTTAGAATTTTAAATTAAATTACTTTATTGATTTATAAGGGAATGTGCATGATGTCAGAAGTGAAAGTATGTTTAATAAATGTACTTCAAATAGTTTGTTCTCAAAATGAGTCAGTCAGAAAATAGAACTTGGTTTAATCCTCAAATTACAGACATACTTTTGAGTGTTTGCTACCAGTGGATGTCTACCTGTTACTCAAATGTAAAGAAATAACCAAAACTTTTGGTGAACTGATCCATATCCTACATAAAGTACATAGGAGACTAACAGTAATTATAGGGATTAATTGCAGTGTAGAAGGTATTTTATATTACTTTTTGTGTGACTCGTATGTTATTAAGGACTTTATAACCAATAATGTCATGGATCATTAAGCAATTTGGTTCTTAAATAGTATTAAAAAATGTTTTAAAAACCAATAGGGGACCATATGAATTATCCTAAGGTAATTTAATTCACACTAAACTTTAGATATTTTATATATATATGAACTTAATCAGTGAATACAATGTTTTTTTTTATAAGCATTTTATTCTTTTCAAATTCTGTAATGTAAACACAGATATAAATGTAAATGTCTCTGGCTGAAGAAGGTTTTTGAGCTAACCACCAAGATGTAAATATTTTTTAAGCTTAGTTCATTTGTATATAGGAACATTATTTTGAACCTTGTATGTAACAAGAAGTTGTATCATAAAAGTTCAGTATGGATAAGTTATAAGAATATTGCACAATATTAGTATAAGAAATGTGTCAACTTACTAATATGATGTGAACTTTTTGTGGCTTATTTACATGATTCTTTTACCAGGACATATTTGACAAATACAATAACATTTTTAAATGCAGGAACATAAATAAAAGACATTTATTTTAGAATGTGGATGTAACAAAGCAAAATGTTCACAGACTTTTATTCTCAAATTTGTTAGCTGAAGTAAGCAAAAAGAAATAAAATGTTTTATGAAAATTTTCCTATAAAAAAACCCTAATTCTCATGTTTTTACACAAATGATGGCTACTTCTACTCTTTTTGAAGGAGTTACTTTAACACAGTTGCTTAAAAGTTGTGATGATAACACCATTCAACCACTATATTTGAAAAAACAGTTTTATTTTGGCACTGAAAAGAGGTTGAAATTATATATTTACATATATGAATTTTAACCTAGTGTGTAACCACATTTTGTCAAGACATGATTAGGCTTGCTTCAGAATGAATGTGATTAACCTACAGGATAACACCAGGTATCTTTACTAATTATCTTAGTATATCATTTTAGATAAGAGTTCAAATATATCATCAGAACTAGCTTTTAAATCCATGATTTATACATAACATGGACATTGAGAGACCATTTGTTCTTTCAAGGTTGTCCATTGATAAAAATAAAAATAAATAAAACCACCCTTTACTTTCCAAGAAATCAACTGATCTTTTTTTGAGTTCCTATAAAGTGCTGACTTCTACTGCTACCATCAGCAAGTCATTACAGTCAACCACTGTATTTTAAAGTTGTTTTCTGTCATCCTATTATTTTTATGATATAGCACAAAGAATTCAGAAGTGTTTATCCTATCAATCTCCAGATAATTGTGTAAATTTCAATAAAATCATCTTTTAACTGTACTTTCTCAAGAGATGGGAATATATCTTAACTTATCCCAATAGGATATATATTACATCCCCAGAATCAAACTTTAATAATTTATTAAATATGAGGCTATCAATGTGAAATGTAAGTAAGAAAAAGCAAAGGATCAACTACCAACCCCTTTAGCAGTTTATTAATAAAAAGGGTCCAATTTGACTGGACTCCATCTTTTGCTTTTTTCCATCTAACCACCCAATATTCAAAAAGCTAGTCTTTCCCTAGCCCCTTAGCTAATCATTTGTGTGGCATCTTATCAAAAGCTTTTAGAAAATGTAAGTACACCAAGTCCACACCCTTTCATAATCCAGATAACAATATACTCAAAAAAGATAACAGATTAGTAAAGCAAGATTTCCCTATGTTTAATCCATATTGTTTTTATTTTATGACATTTCACTAAATGATTGTGTCTTCTATCAAACAATCAACAGTTTTTACCACTACAGAAGTAAGACTAACTGGCTTATATTTTCCATGATAACTTATCACCCCCTTTAATAATATGAGTAGCATTAGCAACCTCCAATCCTTAGACACCTGCACACAGTCTGCTGACCTACTTAAAATGAAAGAGAGAAGTTTGCATATTTGATCTTTGATCTCCTTTAAAACCCTAGGGAAAACCTTGTCTGTTCATGGTGCTTTATCTGTTTTTGCTTTCTCAGTCTTTTTCTTTAACACCAAAGGATTAATATCCACATAATTCAGTTCTCCTCCAGGATTTCCTATAAAATGTTCAGGGTTGGGAATATTGATAATATTTTCTCTTGTAAAAACCAAAGAGAGTATTTAAAAGCTCACCCATAAGAATCTTCAACAAAAACCTTGCTAACAACATTGTTTAAGTACACAATTCCCATTTTAACATGTTGCTTACCTTTAGAATACTAAAAACATCATTCCTATTAATTCTTAACATTATCAGCCAGCTGTTTTTTACTAACCATTTTGGATTTACTAATTTATTTTTTAAGCATATTTCTAGCTTGTTTGTAAAATGACTAATTTAGAAAACTTCTATGCTATCATCACATAAATATTGTGTATTATTAATTTGTTTTTTTCTTCTTCTTCAAGCTTGAAGTATCCAGAATTATGCCTTTATTTGGGAAATCACAAAAAAGCCCAGTGGAGCTGGTGAAAGTGCTTCGAGAAGCCGTTTTAGCATTGGAAAGAGGAGACAAAAAGGCGGAAAAAGTATACTAGTGGATTAGCTTGAGATTTTGTTTTGCCATTTAATAATTCACTGTCATGTCTTTTGTGGAAAATTATTATTATATTATTTAATTTTGGTGTTGAAATAAATGTGTATCTGTGTGTGATTAAAATGTATATACCTTATTAACTATTTTTTGTATATAGGCCCAAGAAGATGTATCTAAAAATTTGATGTTAATGAAAAACATGTTGTATGGAACAAGTGATCAAGAGCCTCAAACAGATATAGTTCTAACACAGCTTGCTCATGAACTATATAATTCTAATCTTCTGTTGTCACTTATACAGAACCTGTCAAAAATAGATTTTGAGGTAAGTTTTACTTTAGGTTGTGGATATTGGATCACAAGTGAAGGTTTCTAACACAATTTTTTTAATCTTGTTACAATTTTAATGAATTCTCTGTGGAGTAATTTCTCATTGATTATAATTTTTTGGTGAAATACTTTGACACATAACTTATGATATGTCATTTTTATGTGAAAATATGAATATGTATATAATATGTTTACACAGTTTTTATCAGACCATATATTTTAAGAAATCTTTTTTTGAATGTTAGGATTTCAGCAATGGAAAATTGCAAACAACAATCAAGACTTTTGAGTTGTGTATATTAACCCTGATGAAGCTGCAGATGTTGGTGGAAATAAAAATATATTATTTTATATTTATCTGGAGTGTAAAAGTTGTTTTATCAAAATGTATAAATCTCTCCAGTATGCACTACAAATTTTGGAAGACAACAAACAATCAAAACTGATTTTTATTTATCAGTGAAATATAGTTGAAAGAATTGTGTATGCTTGTGAAATTAAATTTTGTGTAAATATCGAAATAAAATTTGTTAATAAAAATAGGTTTATTAATAAATGTAAGATCACTAAACTGTTCTACTTTTCATTTTTGATTTAAAGGGCAAAAAAGACGTTGCACAGATATTTAACAACATTTTGAGAAGACAGATTGGAACGCGGTCACCCACAGTAGAATATATCTGTACTAAACCAGAGATACTTTTTACATTAATTAAAGGGTATGTCTGTCTATAGAAGTATATTGTAATTAAAGTTTTTCAAATTTATATATTGTTAGTTGTAGTATAAATAATTTCAAAGTTATGAATGAAGAATAGCCTATTGGCTCACTAAGATTATGCTAAATAATTGGTAAGATTACACTATAAAGAAAAGCAACATTTTTTGAAACTTTTCATTGAGAATCAGAAGCCAGAAAGGAGAAAAGTAAATGTTTGTGCACTTATTCAGATTGGCCCAATATCTTGTCATAAAGTGCTGGAATACAAAATCATGATTAGGTTCAATAAAGAAAATATTGTGTTTTATTTTAAATAATGCCTTTCTAATTGTATAATTTCATTTTACACAGTTTGCTGAATAGTTATAGATTTTAATTTGAATATTACAATTTCTATATTTACATTAGCTTTATATTTTCATTGTACTACATGGAACACGTGTTTGATAAATTTCTCATTGTAATGAAATATTTATTCCAGCAATACATTATTCATATAATTTCACTGTCAGTTTATATAATAACAAACAAATTATACTGTCTAGTTAACTTTATTGGTATGGATAGGTCAAAGTGAGCATATCATGATTTTTTAGAGAGTTGCATTCCAAAACTTGATTAAACTGCTTTATTATCATTGTAGACAAATAAACTTGGCATTAAAATGTAGTTAATAAATCAACTTTTAATATTATATATGTTCTAAATTTTTAATTTAACAAGGAAATATTTTAAGAAATAGTCAACCTCCATAGTATGAGAATTGTGGTGTTTGTTCTCTAGGTCTTCCATCTTCTCTAAGTTGCTTACCACCCCCTCTGAGAAGTGCAGAATTTAACATAAATTACTCATTATAATGTAGTATTATTCAGGCAAAGCATAATTTTTATAGCCTTCTACCTTATTTGTTTACAAACACATAAACTAGAAAATCAGACCCATCTGTCATATTTTCTCTTTCACAAATTGCCGGTAGTTCTTTCTGATATTTTATACTATTTTTGTTATTTATAACCAATAGAAAGCCAGAGTTTCAATCTATCAAGTGATTTATTACATTGTTTGCTGTACAGAAAATTGCTTATTGCCTTCATTTCGAAAATTTCTCTCACTGTATTCACATCAACGAGCTTAGCCAAATTTTTAAGGGCTGTTATTGCATAGTTACAAAGCTAGTTAGTTATATTATGATAGTTATATGACATTGTTGACTTTGTGCATGTTGATATTCTGTGTTCTTAGCTGCATTATTGAATTAATTAAATTATTTAGTGTACGTACTTCCATTAGTATAAAAATAAGTAGACTTAAATTTCACCCCAACTGACAGCAGAAGAAAACAAGTGATCAAAGATAAGTACTGTATTTCTTGTTTTTCATGTGTTGTCATTATTTATTTTTTATAAAAGTAACTAAAGCATAACAATTAGAAACTTATGGGGTTTTGAGTACATTTTACTTCACCTTATAGTAACCTAAATAATTTAGGTATGTGAAATTAGAAACTTATTAGGTTAGATGAGATAATGAAAAAATAATAATTTTTCAGGGGGTATGCTCACAAACAGCTTGTGCATTATGTAATTCAATACAGTAACTTCAGCTTGTTGAGTGATCTATAACTTCTTTGGTGTGATTATTAGTTAGACACTGGTCAAATGGTAATAAAACAAGAAAATCTAAATATAAACAGATGTACATTATGAACTTTCAGCTATTTAGGATAAACAATTGTAGTTTCCTGTTATAATTTGCAGTTATTCTGGAAAGAAAAAAAGGGAATTTAGATTTTTTTTGCAGTTTATTTATGGAGGTTACAAGATCGGGCAAATTGACTGAACATGTATAGATTTAGGGTAGAGATAATAACAGATAAAATATGAAATTTTACTAAAAACAAAGTGTTTAATATTTATTTAGGAGGTTTTAGAGATTACACAAAACAATATTTGACAATTTTAAAGGAAAGAAAAGTATTTTTGATTTTAAAATGAAAATCACTTTGCACTTGGAGCAGTCAACATGGAAAATTTTTTAGTAAAAATACTTAACTGAAAAAAATCTGATTTTTTGTGTGCAAAAGACTTGTAGTATTTACTAAAAGCTTGCAAAATATCGTGAAGATACACAAAACATATTAAAATTATAGTATGGAAACATGATTTTATTAGATCATAAAGTCATTGTGATCCACAGAGCTCATAGTGAGAGGGATAACATAACTGTTTAACTTTTTATTTTAATTAGTATAACAAATAGTTTTCTAGTTGTAGTTGATCAGCTGAAACTAGCTGTGAGTTCATATTATAATATACGTACAATATCAAGTAAATGCAAATTAAGAGTTAAACAATGTACCTGTACAAGAAAATATTTTTTGTATGAAATGTTTTTATTCTCTTTTATTTGACCACAAATACACTGTATATATATATAGAATAGCATTAGATGAAATATACAAGTTTAACTTTTCTTTTTTGATAATTGTGTAATTAATTGTTCAAAATATTTTCATTCCTTGATATCGTTTTTTTTAACTGTGCAAGCACTTAAAATAACAAATGTGTGTATTCATTTATAAGCTTGGAAATCTACACTGTAGTCTATCATGGTTTAGCATAGGACTGTTTACATTTTTATCATAATTGCCAAATTTATTGTATTTAAAAAAATTATTAATTTGTAATGATAATCATTCAGTCTAGGCATTGAGCAGTAGTTTGCCAAAACAATACGATAAAAACATTTTCAAAAATCTGCTAAAACTAGAACTTAAGGTATACTTATAAACTAGTAAATAGATTAATAATTTTGTGATAAGAAAACTTTTTCTTTGTTTTCAAAAATCTGCTAGAACTAGAACTTAAGATATACTTATAAAATAGTAAATAGACTAATAATTTTGTGATAAGAAAACTTTTTTCTTTGTTTTCAAAAATCTGCTAGAACTAGAACTTAAGATATACTTATAAAATAGTAAATAGACTAATAATTTTGTGATAAGAAAACTTTTTTCTTTGTTTTCAAAAATCTGCTAGAACTAGAACTTAAGATATACTTATAAAATAGTAAATAGACTAATAATTTTGTGATAAGAAAACTTTTTTCTTTGTTTTCAAAAATCTGCTAGAACTAGAACTTAAGATATACTTATAAAATAGTAAATAGACTAATAATTTTGTGATAACAAAAATTTTCTTTGTTTCAAGAGCACAAAACTAAAGGCAAAATCCACATCTAATGATTTGAAATGATTGACACACTTTACTAACTGAACTTATGTCATTTCTGAAAAGAAAAAATGTAAGAAACTTTGCATGATATTGCTGCAACTTCATGCATACAAAATATTACTCACAGGTGTAGTAGTGAAAATAATACAGAAAATTACATAAAGAGAGTTTAGTTGAAAGGTATTAGTAAGTTAATTTTTGACAGTTTGTAATTTAATGTATTTGTATTTTGTTTATTGATTGAGTTTTCCATGAAAAATGTTCTGAAAATGTTAATGTTAAATATGTTCTATTACATAAATTTTGGAATCATTCTTGATTAACTCTACATTTAGAAAAATAATTGCTTTTGGAGTCCATTAGTATTTGAGAAATAAAAGATAATGCATTTACTTTTTATTATGTGGATGAAATCAGTCTCTCTCTTTATCTATATGTATGTTTAGTATTGTTAAAATTATAATTTATGTTACTTGTATGAACATTAAATATTTTTGCAAAGGAAATGAAAGTAATACCAAGAGTTACCTAATATTGTATTCACAAGGTTAAGGTCTAAAACAATAATTCTGGGTAAGAGAGCAAAGTTATCACAACCATATGGTCCATTTTTCATGTTTTCAAAAAGCTTTTAACTCATTCACTGTGGCTGGGAAATATACATCCCAGCTGCAGTGAATGAGTTAACATTTCATTTTAAATATTCAATATTTTTATGTGAGTGTTATGCATTAAATTTATTTTTGCAGCATTATTAATTCTTACTTTAATTTTGAATGTTGTACAATTGCTTTGTATTGTACTTGTAAATTCAGTATACAGCTTTAATTTTAACCTTTGAACAGTTATGTGATTGAAATTGGAACAAATTACAAACTATGATTGTTGATGGTAATAGTGGTGAAGCATTTTCCTATTATTGACATTGAATTAGTGTACTTCCATTGTGAAAAATTAAACATTTAATTTGAAACCTAAACGTTTGGATGTGGATCAGAATTAATTAACTTTTTTTAGTTTTATAACTTTTTGCATTTCTTTTACAACAGTTATGAGAAACAAGAAATAGCCTTGAACTGTGGAACAATGCTAAGGGAGTGTGCCAGATATGAAGCTCTTGCAAAGATTGTATTATATTCAGATGAGTTTTATAATTTCTTCAAATATGTGGAAGTTTCAACTTTTGACATTGCGTCTGATGCATTTTCTACATTTAAGGTCAGCTTGGATTATAACAATTTTTCTGATTTTTGATTATTTTTGGTATAAAATCATCAGCTCTTAACTCTCAACTATAATTTTGGAAATCTTTATTAACGTAGCCAAAACTTTTCTGTGTTGACTTTTTTAAAGTTGATTAGGTTAAAATAGATTAAATTACTGCTAGAGTTAAAATAAATTAGATTCCTAAATCATTACATTAATAACTAGGAAGATGGTGTAGGTATATAAATCAATCAGTTTAATTTGTATTATGTTCAGTATAGATCATTTTGAAGTTGTAATTTTTTTGTGAGAGGCTAGAAATTCCTGTAAACTTTGTTGATTTGTTTTTTTTTTAAATACACATGGACATTCATTTTGGGATGAGCATTAGCTTTAAGATACAGAATATTTGTTATAGACCAGTCTCCACTCTACTGACCCATAAAAAGTTGTTCTAAAGAGAACTTGATTGTTTGTATGTCTTCCTGGACGATATTATTACAAAATTAGCTAGACTTCTGGTCTCTAGTACATGTTCTCTGTAGCTGCCATCTTCTAAAATGGTGGCTGTTTTCACTATGTATTAAATATCTATGGAACTGCAACACGTATAAAGCTCATTTCAGTAATGAACTATAGGTTTTGGGGACAATGAATCAAATGAGAGCATTATCTGTTTCCTAGAAAGTTTTTTTACTAGGTTCAATATAGTAAATACAATTTATCAAAATGAAGTTTTCTAATTTTCAAATTTTAATGGAAAATATGATGATCAATGCAAAATAGTCAACTTCTTTTTTTGTATTTGCACCAGCTTGTGTTGCAGGTTTTGCAACTTTGCAAAGTCAGCAACTCTGCTGGTGTTTTGAGATATTTTGATGGTAACCTTTTGGAGTTGGCATAGTCTTTGTTTAAGAGGAAGAGTGACTCTGTGACACTGAAGAATGTTTGTTTGATTTGTCCTTAGACTGAACTCAATATTGGTGGCAGATAAGCAAATTATTTGTTCATCTTTTGATAATAATGAACAAATCTGAGCTCATCAAAAGTACCAATTTAAACATTGGGTGAACATGCTCTAGTAAGGTGCTGTTAGAGGTTTTCTGTGTCTTGTTTGTTTCACCAAATTCCTTTAAAAACTTTTCTGACTGTGCAGTAAGTGCTGCATGCTTGGTTCAAATTTTGTTTCGGGCATTTCCAGTGACAGTTTGACCCTTCACTAAAACACTGTACAGTGCAGGTTCAAGTATATTCAGCAGGTGATGTAGTGGGATAAACCAAAATTTCTCACTAGTACAAAATCTTATCTAAAGTTAGATCAAGCCTGTGATTCTAAAGTTGGATGCATACCTTAGCATCACTGCAACAACATCTGTGTCACTGGACAGGATGATTAAATGCTGGGCTTCATGCTTCACTGCCCAATTTACATGTGGTACGATGTAGCAGTCAGCTTTTTCAATTGAATTACTGAGCTCTTCAAGTTCAGATCTCTCACCATTTAAGTACAACTCTGCTAGGACAACTTCATTTCTACTTGTAATGGCTGGAATGTTTGCTCGAGTCGAGTGGTCACCTACTTCTTTATGGGCAAGTTGCTCTAAGTGTCTTTGTTTGAAGATGATTTTCAGAACGTGTCTAATTAAACAGGAATTGGTGAGTTGGGATAGATGCATACTAACTCCAAATTGCCTAAGGTATATGATCTGTAAAGTCTTTCTGATTCTTTTGTAGACAGTTCTAGATAGCTGTCAAAGACAGCATGCAATTCTTGAGCTTTGAATCACTTTGCTGACTGCTTGTCCAAAGTTGTTTAGGAATGCTGTCTTCATCATCCAAAGTTGCAACATGAAATCAATAAGGACTGCTGTTTTTACTCTGTACAATGGCTCAAACATACAGTCTTTAACTTCAGTCTCGAGGATGTGTTTGGCTGACTTGATTGGAGCATCAGATTGAAAGAACAGGCTTGTTGACAGGAGATTGTGAGCATAATTATCCTTGACTGACTCTCCCCTCCTCTGTGCAATCTCCATTGCTTTTTGTACCTGGCCCAGCTGCTTTGTTGTCACACCTGTTGCAGCAGTCAGCCCATCAGATATTTGTGAGCCACTGAAGTCCAGTAGGTTCACCTTGAGTATCTTACATGTATACCTTTTCTTTTTCAATAGAAATTATTCATAGTACAGTTGCTTGTAGGTTTCTTATCCTTGCTGAATGACATTGAGCACCCATACATTTGGTTTTCATTAATATAATGCTTTGTGAAGAAGAATGTACTGAATGATCTTGAAGGGATTTCCTAGGTTACAGTAATTTCAAACAACTCTTCTTTCCTTTCTGTCAGCTGATGGTGATACATTTCCATGTAATCCATTACCTTTGCATTTGTCAAGTCACAGAAAACATTGCTGATTTTGAGGTCTTCATGATAGATGAGCTTCCATTTGGCAACATAGTCTCTCTTCCTTGTTTGACCTGTGATGCCTTTTGCAGTCTTCTGTGACCTCTGTATCATCTGCTCAAGCTTTGTATCTTGAGCAACAGCGTTGAGCTTGCCTTCCTTTTCTTTGACCACAAATTGACTCTGGAGGAACATTCAATACAAAAATAGATTGTCAACTTCAAGCTTTCATACTCTTTCCAAGTACTAGGATCCACACTGCAAGTAGTTGATACAATCATACTTGTGAAATGCACTGAACAGTGACTCCACTGTTTGCACATGCAGCTCCTAGTTTACTCTATTATCTGATGTTACAAGATTTCTTCATTAGAACTGCAATATGTAAAAATATACACTGGTACTTATACATTTCAGGCTTTCCACAACATTCTAGTACAACTTGCAAATTTTTGATCGAAACCTTTACTTTTGTCCATCAGTATCTGAAAAAGAGCTGATTCATTGTTTCATCATTTGATTTCAGTGCTTTTTCCCTACTGTGTTAGTCCAGTGTTCACTTCACAGGAATCGTCTAGTGTATTATTTTTTTAGAAAGCTTGCCACATCATTTCAATAATTTCCAAGATGATCAATGTAACTTGCAAAGAATGAACATAATGCTTTCCATTTAAGATAGCCATGACAGTTGTAACTCCAAATACTTCACATTCTATTAGAGCATCATTCATTCCACTTCCACTGGTGTACATTACTGCACAGCTAAGAGCTACTTTTGCTGAATGAAACATTCCCATCATATGGTATAAGTCTTAAATTATTCAGGGTTACTCAAAATAATATCAGCAACTGTATGTAGAACAACGTTATCACAGAAGATTGGGATAATAGGCTGTTATAGCATGCTCTTTAGAAATTTCTTACAGCTGACTATGCAGTGGCAAAATCAGTCATTGGGTAGAATCCCACTCTCTTGATTGGGGTGGTGTTTTGAGTAGCTAATACACGGAAACCTCCCCAACAAGGCACTTGATATTTCATACTGTTCACTTCTCACCAAGGTGATAAAAGAAACTTGGTGTTGACTATCTTGTGTGACAAAATCTCAGAAGGTTGCAACCCAACATCTTTGGCCACTTGGAAGTTTTCAGACAGGTTAGGCCTATATGGCTTGGGATAAAAACCTTTGTATTGGCATGCTAGCTATTTTTCGGCTTGTAACTATGAGATAGAAACATCTTTACCCGAGTAATATTGAAACAGCAAAATAGCTGTGCCGTTGGTACTTGTCATGCTGGACAATGATGATGCATCCTCATAGTCAGAGTTATCAAGATCACAAAATGTGAAGTCTGAGCTGTTGAAGTGACTTGGAATGGGAATATTGTTGACTTCATATGCCTGAACAGCATAGGCAGACAGCAGGTCTTGGTTTCTCAACAAGTCACTATAGCTAGTGCTCATAGACATAATCAGCTTTCTGCTTTTGCACTTGTCATAAATATTGTGAACAGGCATCACGTGTAATAGAACTTTCTTTAACCCATTGTGCATTTAATAGAAAACAATTTGGAAAAGTCAGAAAAGCTTCACAACATAATGTTTCAGAGAAATGATCACATCAATGGTATCAGCAATCATGTTATTTGTTTCATCAGTTTCAAGTTGCAACATTTCAACTTGCAGCCTAAAGACTTGCTGATATAAAGATGCAAAAAAAAGTCAGAAACACATGAAGCATTTCTATTTTCTCCTATGACTGATGCAGTTCTGTTGCATCACATAATTTGTCTTGCAATTGGAAACCAACTTTTTGCATTGCTAGTCTTACTACAGTTCCTGCTGAATTGACAGAATCATAACATCTTATTTTTGCAGCAAGCTTTTCAGCATTCAGGTCAGCAGAAAAAAGTAGCAATGGATAATTTTTCTCTTTGAGATGGATGAACTTGATATGGTCTCGATACAATTTCACAAGAAACGTTTTAACCTGTGTTATAGAATTGTACGCTGTATCAATGCTGGTTAATAGCTCTTTGATCTCAATGAGTATGAAACTGTAGCCTCATTTTTTCCTATTGGAGCAATTCAAACTATTGAGTGTTTGTATATTTTCCATTGAATACTTCTTTCAAATCAGTTGTTTTTAAGGATTAAATTATATCTTGAAATTAATCTATGATATTTCTTCATACATAAAATTGTCTAGTAATAGTATTCTGTGATATTTTACAGCACTGATTCTTTAATTGTGTAATAATTGTTTCATAATTATAATTTTGAAAATCTTTATTAACATGCCCAAAATTTTCCTGCATTGATTTCATTTGAAATTCAACAAATTCTTTTAAGCCTGAAACCACTGGTTATTTTGTAATGTCAGCTTTTGCTGAAATTATTACAATTATAGTTAAGCTTTTATATAAAAGTTTATTTACATTTTAAGCTTTTTAAAACAAAACTTCAGAAATATTCCAATAATCATGCAGTATTGAATATAAAACTCAAATCATTTTACTTCTGTATCCTTTACCTTTTTGCACATGTAGCAAATTTGTGAAACTACTGTTTTTTTTGTAATCCTTAAATTTTTAATAGTGTATCTATTATTTAAGAAATAATTGATATGACCATTATTTGTCTCTAATATAAATATTAGTAGGAAAATTATTTGTTTTATATAAACACATGCATAAAAATTATGTAATGACATAGTAAACTGTACCTACGTATTTTTTTATTTTGTAAAAAAATATGCTTTGTATGCATTTCACTTGTAACATCACAAAAAGCATTGGTAAATGTTGATTTGTGTAATAATTCCAAAGGAACTTGGTATTTTAGGAACATAGTTAAATTTGATACATTATATCTTCATCAGGAACTTCTAACAAGACACAAAGGACTATGTGCTGAATTTTTGGAAAATAACTATGACAAAGTGTTCAGTCATTACCAGAACTTACTAAACTCTGAAAATTATGTTACTCGAAGGCAGTCCTTAAAGGTAAATACTTAGAAAGTTATCTATATAATCATACATTTTAAAATAAATTGGCAATTTTGGCTATAAAGTTTAGAAGTTATTTTAGCTCATCATATCTTATTAATAATATCTTGGGTACTGAATGCTGTTGATAATTGTTTTCAAATTATTCTCCAAGTAACTTGTAAATACAAGAGCTTCTAAGCTACTGCTGTTTGTTTCCTAGTAGGGTATGACATTATTACACAACATTTATTGTTTACTGTTTCAAGAGATGTGGTGTCATAGTAATCCTATTCATTCATTATGATTGAATGTGTATTAATCTAATGTAGTTTTAAATATTCTGAAAGTTTAATTTTTATGAGTACTATAAATATGTTTTGTTCCATACTTGAAGCTACTTGGAGAACTTTTGCTTGATCGACATAATTTCACTATAATGACCCGTTACATTAGTAATCCTGAGAACCTGAAGCTGATGATGAATATGTTAAAAGAGAAAAGCAGAAATATCCAGTTTGAGGCTTTTCATGTCTTCAAAGTGAGTTATTACAATGTTTATTTCAAAAAATGTAAATCACAATGCTCCAGATAAGCTTTTGATGTAACGAGTATTTTACTAATTGAAATAAACTGCAATACTGAAATTTATAACTCAATGTAAAAAACTAGCATATTTTAGGGTTTTAGTAACTTTTTTAAATCTAAAATTGACATTTTGGTGCTATTTTGCTGTGTTTACGAGGCACTTGCTCTTCTTATTTCTGTAGTGACATCCTGTTAAAGACCACCTGAGACAGTTATAGTGTAAATTCAATATAGTTAGCACTCTGTTGACATTGATTGATAAAATTAGATTGAAATAATTTTCAGTATAAAGTAACCCTGAACTACACGTTATTGCCAGGAGATGATATCTGTATAACTCATTTGTAAGGTTTCATTCCATTACACGTACAAAACTGAATAATTTAGTGTCTTTTAAGCCTTTATATAAAGTTTTAGTTACATTTTAAGCTTTGTAAAACAAAACTCCACAAATATTCCATTATATCTTCTACCAGGTAGATGATGAACAGTTCGATGATGAAAAAGCTTACCTGATAAAACAGACTAGACAGTTAAAACCTCATGAAGAGCATTAACATCTAAAACTTGTATGATTGTCATGTAATCTATGAATGACCTGGAAGACTATAATACAAAAAGGTTTTGCAATGCAATGTGCCGTATCTCACAAACAGTATAACGTAAGAAGGTCAAATTATTCAGGGGTGTTAAAAGTGTCTGTAAATGCAATGCATTGAACTGCAAACTTTTCTTTATAATCACCTTGTATTATTTAATTCACTATTCCCTGTACAGTAGAATCTAGGCTCTTCAGTACTGTTTGTGAGACTAAACCAGATATATAATAGGCCTCCATATAGTGATAGAATGCAAACGATTTGTAGGATTTGATGTAAAGGACTGAATGTCTTATCGTGAGGGCGAAATCACATTTCTGAATTGAACTTATCTTTTATTGGATTTCAGATTTTATTTTTGTAAATAGTAGCATAACATTCAATATTTTGTACAAAATTGTATTGTTTAATGAAGTTTAAAGAGGAATATAATGAAAAAATTCCTAAAATACGTTTTAAACTGTAAATAAGTGCCCTTTAAGAAAAAAGTTTTTTTTAAATTTTTCCTTCCACTTCAGCACTGGTCCTGCCATATGTGGTTGGTATCTAAACCTTTTTCTAGTCTGTTTTCTTTATAAAACAGCGTCTGGGTGTGTTAAACCTCAGTTGTAAAACTTTTAGCCAATCCTATTTGAAGGTGTCAATTTCAGTACCATGTTATTCCAATTGCTGTATTTCACTTTTGACAAATCATAGGATGATAAGGAAAGCATGTGATGAAACGTTGTTCTCTGGATTTTACAATATGAATGTGGGTGATGCTTATTATAGTAACTGCCATTTTATGTAGAGGTTGTATTTAGTATTTTCTATAAGCGTTACAAAACTTGCTTCTGGAAAATACTGCATGGGATGTATGTGACTTTTATTATTTTTATATAGTAGCTTAGGTCAGGTTGCATCGTATATCTATTTATATTAATCATTATATTGAAAATTTAATTAAATATATATATATATATATATATATTT